TAACAAGAAAGCAACCCGCACCGCAAAGGAAGTATTCTGCCGCATCATTTTGGTCCGTCGAGCCGGATTGCTCAAGGATTCTTTAAAAACCCGCATAATTTAACAGATCGGTGTGACTTTCATTCGTCCCCTGCAAAGTTGCGCTATTCACTTTTAGCGCATATATATACATACATACATACATATTTATCTTATTGCCTTTGGTTTTTCTTTGCAAATTCAGCCGCATAAATTATACCCACCTGCAAGTAAATTATTGAAAAATAAAAATGTCGGAATTTGTAAAAACGCGAGATTCGGCCCTTAAAGCTATCAAAAGATACTTGACAAAGAGCCTAGATGAAACATTCATGCTCGACATAGATGGCGTCGAGAGTTATTTAGGGTTATTGAGTGAGCAATGGAACCGGTTCAACACCGCTCAAGATGCCGTGGAAAATTCGTGTGGAAGTGAAAACGCCGATGTGGAGGATAATGTTCGCGAACAGGCCGAATCTTGGTATGCCACGGCTCTGGCAAATTTTAGGCGTGTGCAGAAATGTAAAGTTTATCCTTCATCGCAACCCATAACCGCTTCACCCATTGTTTCTGCATCCATACGTCTGCCCAAAATTGATCTTCCAACGTTCACTGGCGATTCCACTGAATGGACTGCCTTCTATGACTCCTTCCGTTCATTAGTTGATGGCAATGCTGCCTTGTCAGGGGGGGGCAGAAGTTGCATTATCTGCGTAGCTGTTTGAAGGGGGATGCGCTGAGTATAATAAGTGGATTCCAGATCAGTGACGCCAACTACGATGAGGCTTGGAATCTACTTAAATCGCGTTACAAAGTTATGCGCGTTATCGTAGAGGCACACCTTAGGGCAATCGCGGAGGTTAAAAGGGTCACAGACGACACCGCTGATGCTATAAGGAGAGTTTTGAATGCATTTCAACAGCACATACGGGAGCTCAAAGCACTAGGGCGTCCTGTCGATTTTTTGGGACGATTGGCTGGTTCACGAGATCGTTTCCAGACTAGCGTTTGAGACCAGGAAGCAGTGGGAGCTGTCATTATTAAGCGACGAACCACCAACCTTTGAACAGCTGACTGAATTTTTGGAGGTAAGGTGCCGTTCTTTGGAGATGCTCATCACGCCAGCAAATCAAGTAGCAGAAAAACCAACTGTGTCAAAGGCGTTTGGAAAGTCAACTAAAGTTTTTCACGCTATCTCGGAACAGCCAGACACGCGTTGTATGTACTGCGATGAATCCCATAAAATTTATGCTTGCGAGAAATTCCGTGACCTAGATCGCACCGCAAAGTCGAGATTCATTCAAGAAAGCAAAGCTTGCTTTAACTGTTTGAGTCCAGGACACTACAAGGATCGCTGCAATAGTGGCTCCGCATGCCGTATATGCAACCAACGACATCATACGCTGCTCCATGGTGTGGGAACATCAACCGCTACATCCGCCCATTTTGTCGCCGAGGCTAACCGCACCGTTCCGGATACGTCATCCACAACCATCCCCATAAACGCGTCTGCTAGCACCAGTTCGCCGACGAATGCCAATGCTGTCTCATCATACTTGAGCTCTGAAGATACCCCGCTTCCTCTAACGCAACAAACTGTGTTATTGTCCACCGCCTCTGTAAAGGTTCGCGATTGCGCCGACCGATGGCAGACGGCGCGCTTATTATTTGATTCTGGTTCACATGCCACATTCGTCACTGAGGCATGTGTACAACGCTTGGGTCTACCCCGTAAATCGTCTTCGGTAATTGTCACCGGAATAGGTTCATCGCAGGGAGGCCACTGTAAGGGTGAGGCATCACTCGTACTCTCGTCCTACTTCTCCAAAGATCGCTATCCCGTCGAAGCCTTGATTTTGCCGAAAATCACTAGCGACTTGCCGTCGCATACTCTGGACATTCCTGAATGGCCGCATATTCAGGGTTTGGTCCTAGCTGACCCGCAATTTATGAAACCCGGTCGCATCGATATCTTGGTTGGTATGGATATTATGAGTCGTCTCATCTGTCCTGAACTTCGTAAAGGTCCACTCGGCGCACCTATGGCGCAAAAGACGGTCTTTGGTTGGACCTTGTGCGGAAGTATCAAAGCTTCACCTTCGCCACCGATCAACGTACAGTCGCTGCACTGTGATGTGCAACTCGATCGCGCGCTAACGAGGTTATGGGAGCTTGAGGAATCTCCGAAAAAACCTCATCTCACACTCGAAGAGAGCTTCTGCGAAGATCATTTCGCTTCTACGCACCAAAGATCACCTGATGGCCGCTTTCTAGTGGAGTTACCGCTGAAAGCAGACGTGCCATTGGGTGAATCTCGCGACCTTGCCGTGCGAAGTCTATTACGCATCGAACGGAGGATGACTCGGGACAATGCGTTGCAAGCGCTATACAACGAGTTCATGCAAGAACTAATAGATATGGGACATATGGAACCTGTACCCGAAGAGACGACTAATGCAGTGTATTATATGCCGCATCACCCAGTGCTGAAGGAGTCGAGCGTTACGACGAAGCTAAGGGTCGTTTTCAACGCTTCTGCCAAAACCACCTCCGGGAATTCGCTCAACGATGCCCTTTGTGTTGGGCCGCAATTGCAGCACGACCTGTACTCTATATTGTTGCGTTTCCGTATGCACCGCTTCGCTGTCACCGCCGATGTTGCGAAGATGTACCGTCAAGTATGTGTGTCACCGAAGCACATCGACTTACAACGCATCGTTTGGCGTGCACATCCATCTGCGCCAATTCAAGATTACCGCATGCTACGAGTAACTTATGGTGTGGCGGCTGCTTCTCATCTGGCCGTAAAGGCGCTGCAACAAACTGCCAAGACTTCTACGAACGATTCCGAAAAAAGCTATTTCAGTTATCCTTAGAGATTTTTACATGGACGATCTTCTTACTGGTACATCTTGCAAAACCGAACTTCAGTCCCTGCAACAACATGTCTCACAGATTTTAATGGAAGGAGGCTTTGAGTTACGAAAGTGGGCATCGAACTGTAAGGAGCTCAACGAGAGTATTTCCGAATCTTCGAGGGGTATTTCGCACTACGTAGTCGATGGTAAAGACGTTCACGCGCTGGGTCTGATGTGGGACACCGAGGGAGATCATTTCACATTTGCCGTCAATTTGAAGAAAGAACCCGCAACCCTAACCAAGAGATCCCTCCTAGCCGACGCTAGTACGCTCTTTGACCCGCTGGGTTTACTCGCTCCGGTCACAATAAAGGGTAAAATGTGGTTTCAGGACGTTTGGCGTTCTGCAGTTGGGTGGGACGACCCAGTACCACCCATAATCGAAAAGGCTTGGCGAGATCATCGAGTAGAGCTACAGAACTTGAAGGAGTTGAAGGTCGATCACTGGATTGGATCCGGAATGGCCGGCTCATTCACGGAGCTGCACGTGTTTGCTGACGCTTCCGAACGAGCTTACGCCGCTGTGGTATACGCCCGCACTTTGCAACCCGACGGTACTGTTGCTGTAAGCCTCATTTCATCGAAAACTAAGGTTGCACCGCTTAAACCCACGACTCTACCCCGCCTTGAACTTTGCGCTGCACATTTAGCCTCGAAGTTGGTCCGAAACGTGCTGCACAGTTGGGGTAATCTTCGCTACCCGCTATATGCTTGGACGGATTCAACCATCACCTTAGCCTGGCTACAAGCACATCCTAGCAAATGGATAACCTTTGTAGCTAACCGCGTTGCCGAAACCCAAGACGTTTTGCCGCCGAATAGTTGGCATCATGTAAGGTCTGAATTGAACCCAGCTGACTGCGCGTCCAGGGGTATATCGCCGTCTGATCTCCTTTGTCACAAACTTTGGTGGAACGGTCCTGAATTTTTGAAAGGTACAGACCAGTTTTGGAAGAAAGAGTCGACAAATCAACACGCAACCGACATTGGCGTTCGAAACAAAGTTGCAGCAAACGTTTCAAATTCAAACGATTACTGGCCCGTCATTACAAAATATTCGTCGTATTCAAAGCTACGTCGCGTCATTTCATTCTGCTTACGATTCGTTTGTAACATTCGAGCAACTAAGCGTCTCGTCGAAAAACGCCATGGTCCTCTAAGCGGGTTGGAGCTGGTCGAAGCGGAGCGCCGCTTAGTTAAATATACGCAAAACTTTCACTTTGCCAATGAGATCTCTCACTGCAGCGCAAATAGGCCGATCCCGCTACGTAGTAGCTTGGTGCGTTTGCAACCATTTCTGGATCCCAACGGTATTCTCCGTGTAGGTGGACGACTGAAATCCGCAAATATTTCAAACGACGCGAGGCATCCAATAGTTTTGCCCAAGAATTCTCCGCTTTCACGCCTCATCATCTCCGATATACATTACTTTACTTTGCACGCTGGGCCACGTATAATGCAGGTCGTATTGCAGCGTCGTTATTGGGTGATTGGAGCTCGTAGTTTGATCCGCAGCATTTATCACAAATGCGTCAAGTGCACTTGCATCAATCGTAACGCTGCCTCGCAGTCAATGGGTGACCTTCCCGCGTCCCGTACGACATATGCTCGTTGCTTCACACGCACTGCCGTGGACTTTGCTGGACCCGATTCATACAAATATACTTACGGAAGAGGAGCTAAATCTACGAAAGGATATATATGTTCATTTATTTGTATGTGCACTGGTGCGATGCATCTTGAATTTGTAGGGGATCTATCGACACCAGCTTTTCTCAACGCGTTCAAGCGTTTCATAAATCGAAGAGGGTATTGCAAGACCATGGTATCTGACAATGGCACGAATTTCGTTGGAGCTGAAAAGGAACTGCGCAACAAGTACGAGCAGTGCATGGCTGATGATGCGCTTCAGTCGTTTTTTGCTGACTCCAATATTGAGTGGCATTTCAACCCGCCGACCGCACCACACATGGGTGGATACTGGGAAACCGGTATCAAACGTATCAAATACCATTTGAAGCGTGTTTTAGGAGATACCTTCCTTTCGTACGAAGACTTCAGTACGCTATTAACTGAAGTGGAAGCTTGCGTTAACTCTCGCCCACTATGTGAAATTTCAACAAATGCTTCCGACCTCGAAGCCTTAACACCTGGACATTTTATTATCGGCGAACCTCTGAAGTCCATCCCAGAACCTGAGGGTCAAGGGTTCTGTGGAAATCTCCATCAGAGGTGGCAATTAATTTCAGAAATGCGACGACATTTTTGGCGTCGTTGGAAAGACGAGTATCTCTTGAGTCTGCAACGTCGCACTAAATGGTTTCGTCCTTCACGTAATTTCGAAGAAGGAGATATAGTAGCTATTTTCAACGATCTCACCCCTCCGACTAAGTGGACACTCGCAAGGGTAATTCGGTGTCACTCAGGAGTTGATGGCCGAGTACGTGTTGTTACAGTGAAGACTGCAACCGGGGAATACAAGAGACCAATAACTAAATTGTGCCTTCTACCGACTAAGGAAGATTTATTTTGCTGATGAAGACCTTTAGACTAAGAATGAAATTCATAACTTTAAGTATTTTTTTTTTTAAAGAAACAAAGTAATTGTAAATTGAACGTATCATTTATCTAACTTAGATAGTTCAAGGGCGGCGGTATGTTGAGTTCAAATTTGCATGTTCTTAAATGAAGTTTGTTGGAGCTTAAAGTTGTCTTAATAAGCTTCTAA